ATTAGTGGCGCTGTTGGCAATTTCAACTGCTCTGAAATCAACTGCACTGTCTTGGCAACAACATAGCCGGTGTCCACACTGGCAACAGTGCCATAGACCTCCGAGGCGAGAACGCTTCGAGTGACATGCTTGCATTTCTGGGATGACCAATGGATAAGATTTCCAGTTATAGTGAACTGCTCTTCAGACTTGGCAATTTCATTGACCAGTGTTACTATGTTGTGCCTGGACCCACATAGCTACAGTGCACAGCTCAAGTTATGATGGTCAAGCAACTGCCTGCGTTTGCTCTGTTTGCTCCTGCTTTGTTGAGTTAGTATCATTAGTAAGCAATAGTCTAGGGACTATAAGTAGAGAGCTTTCCTCCACAGTAGATAGAGTAAGCAATTCAGTCTTTCCTCATTCTACAGAGATCATTCTCTGCTCCACTTCTTGACCTGTCTGGCCCAGCAGCCCATCTGTGATCACTAGCAGCGAGCTCCCACAAATTGTATGTACACCCAAATCATAGAACTATCACAACATACTGTAAAACCCACCTGTGATGAGAGGTCATTTAAGTTGGCAAATGAACCATCTGCAAAGACCTTAATCTTCCAGTTTGTTACGGCCTTGTATTCCTGACCCTCGGGGCCTCTAATACTATTGTTCCTTCCAAGTATTGTGTTGTGATCCTACATACGCACGGACTAGTAGTAAATTATGTATATATGTATATCTCTAGATACCTCTTGTTATTTTCTTACCTTAGTTTAGAATCTTATGAATTATATTCCAGATCTGAGCCCTTACCTGATTCGACTTGTTCATCTGCTAACCTGTGCTCCCTTCTGGTTGTCACACAGTTGCTCGGATCTAGAGGGACAAAATTAAGGCCACGGGCCTTATTAGTGAGCTGCCAAATAATGCGCTTGTTGAGAGCATTATACTCATCATCTGTAGGCTCCTGAGCTTGGGCCGCAAAGGAATAGTCGAATGCGGCTTCGGGTTGGCAAATGGAGGCCAAATACGCGCCACGGGTGCGCTGCTGGATATATTCCTGTGGACAATGTGAAGTATTGATGTCAACAGCTTTGAGCTTATCGGCTTGTCCTTTCTGTGACATCACAATAGTTTCGCCCTTAATGTGTAGACGGCAGCCATTGAAGTTAGCTATAGAGCTGTTGGCAAGGTGTGAGTGTCCGGATAGAGCACAAGCTAGGAGATGACAAAGTCGAATCAAATAGATATTCAAATCAGGATTATAATATAAAAGATTCTAAACTAAGGAAGAGAAGGGAAAGAAAGCATCTACAGATCTATAGCTGTACATAATTTACACCTGGCCCGTGCGTTCCATACCGGGTAACTCCTTGTACTACAGACTAATCATTATGTCATTGCACCCCTACTCACTACTATATGCAGGGCTGTCACACAAGGAAAGATTTTGGCTTGGCTAGGAGCTTTGCATCCTTGAGTTCTTCCTCCTCTGTAGCCATAAATTCAGCAGTGCCAACAAGCAGCGTATTCTCTATCTGCATGCCAGCTATTCCAAAGTTCTTACCGGTATTGGTGACTAGTAGGCAAGGATCAAATAACCGAAGTAGTCATGTGCAGGTTTTCCTTGTGATGGTTCTGATAGGTAATAAACCAGTGGGCCCCAGACTCGGGGATACTGTATAGAGGCCAGAAAACGCGGAATATAGTACCTTCGGGGTACTTTTCTTTTAGCTCAGACGGAAAGCGGGCAAAGATATCACAGGCAAGAGGCGTCTTAGATTGAGTGTACGCCTGTGTGATATCACGAATGGCGAAAATCATGCCTATCTTAAGCAGGGTTGGAGCCACAGCAAGAATCAGTCTTTGGCTGCAATGCTGAATGGTCGGAGACTGGGATAGAACGAAGCGTTTCTCATGATTGTTGTATCCCTGCACAACAAGACGAGATTTTTCATACGGATGTGCAGTTGTCTTGTCCTTGATTTCGCGCACCATACATAACCCAAATATTCGGCAACCATTTGGGATTTTATTGATGGGAGTAGGTACTAAAACACCGCGGGCTAGGAGGCCATCAATCTCAGCAATATCACTGAGCTCGAATGGAGCCCCAGCAGTATTGATCTTGCCATCCGCACGGAGACGGATCGCAAGTTCTTTATTGCTATGCTCTTTGTGGGTTATGAAGAGCTGCTTAAATGAAATAGCGTCAACCATAGCTATAGTGAATAAGTCGTTATCAGGAGTAGTATCATTATCAGAATCTCTATCACATTTGGGCTATTGGATATGACTGCGCGGACGAAGACGCCTAGCAATTGGTTGATCGGACTGCAATTTGGGTTCCTTGGAGTGTTGCTTATCATTTTACGTAACTTTGCATGTGCGGCCAGTTGCATTTCTTAAGGAAATATTGATTGGCCGGGCTATTGACTGTTTTTCGTGACGTATTGCCACAACATCATTAGGAATAATAGGAGGAGTTGGAATGATAGCGGGTCGGCCCCGCGGGCGAGGAAGTTCCACTGGCGGGTATTCAAGTGGCTCTAAACCGGATGAAATGGCGATAGCTGGGTCAATGCGTTTGTATGGCTTGACAAAATTGACGCGAAATTCAGAGCAATTGGTGCCTTTCTGGACAGTGATATTGATTCCATCTGTGCTTAACATGGTGTAGGGGCCAACCCATCTCTTTTTACGGCCACGGTAGACAATAACTTCGCTGCCAATTGGTGTTACGGTTTGACCATGGTTTAGCTTAGGCGGAGACCTAAGCGGAGTTTGGGGGCGTATTCGGGAGAGTGTTACACATTATCTTGTATCAAGCGACTTAGTTTCACTTGGCCACATTACATTAAAGCTAGGAAGGAATGTGAGACGGCGAAGTAGAATTGCCAAGTGAGAGGGTCAGCTAGATGGCAAAGATGACGACGGGCAGTGGCGAAGCAATATGTCATTCTCACCAACAGAGTACGTATTAGATGAGCTAGAAGGATGTACAAATAGTCATTGCCCGTAGTTGTGATACTTCTCTCTTCATATAGTTTAATCTTTCTAAAAGTACACTACAACCAGCTTGGTTTTGTCACAATTGGGATAGAAAGTGGTTGCATGTCAGATGTGTCCTGCACGTTGCGAGTATTGAGTGCACGGTTGACCAGGTGCTTGGCTTTGATCTTATTTAGCTCCTTCATCGCTTTACTTATTGCTTCGGCCCGCTGCATCGTTAGTGCAGACGGAGGGGAATCCATTTTTAGACATGGCATAGCACCAAACACGAGGAGAGTTGGGACCAGACCATTTGGGCCAACACTGTCATTTATACATTTAAAGGACATCTGCAATGTGGCTTCTGGGGAAATGGCTGAGCCTATTTCGGCGCAGATGATGCAATAGATCGTGCGCAAGGGCCCATGATATTGCTCGATCTTACCAATTGAATGATGTGATTTGGTGGGAACTCCGACAACAGTGATACCCATGAGCTGTGCCTCAGCACGAAACTCCTCTGCACTGAACTGTGTGCCTGCATCTGTGGCAAGAATGTCAGGAGGACCAAGGTATGTGTCAATCTAACATTCTCGGAGGCGTTCCCATGCTTCTTTGGCAGTTATATTCTTTAGGAAACGGCCAGATTGAAAAGCAGTTGCAGTGTCAACGGTTTTTAATACTGCTTTGCCGTCCAAATCAAGAGTATCCACGATAATTGTATGGTTGAATGCGGTGTCATTGCGTAGGGTGAATCGAAATCGACGGGGTGTAGCACCCTTCATCTGGCAGTGGTGGCAAAACTTGGCGATCATTTCGAGGGCTTCAGTACTAGCTTCCTCACTGGCGCGGGTAAGAATATTTCACATTTGTTGCACTATTGGGTGACCAAATTGTCGATGAAGGCGTTGTAGCTCAGGGACGGTCAGGAATAATGACGCATGTTTAAGATCTGAGATCATGGACCACAGATTGCCCCATTTTCGCACGATGGGGATCTCTTTATAGCTTGGAATAAGCTGGACAAGGAGATTGCGCGTGTTTTCGAGATGAGTGTTAAGACGGTCCATGTCTTTGAGGCTAAGCAGGAATGGTGTTGAGGTGTGCATGACATAGAACTTTATGGTACCAATTGGTGTTACAGTTTCGACAGACCCGAGTGATGACATTACATCACCATTACCGAAACGTACTTTTACCTTATTATCTTCCTTGTTCAGTTGTAGTTCAGGATATTCTCGCTGCAAAGCCTGAAACTGAGGAAATCCCGCTGTTGATGTCTGTGCGGCGCTGGTATCAGGCATTATTCCCTGAAAGCATTTGTTAGAGTATTGATCAAGAACAAATTGTTCGGCAGGAACAGGTGAATTGGACTCAAGTGATGGCGGTATGTAGTTTGTGAGACAGTAACGCGCAGATTCGTCAATGAGAAAAGAAGCGGCACTCATAAACAAGTCGTTTTCGCTGTTCTCATCTTCACTGAAGTCATCAACAGCAGTATTATGAGCTACAGTATCTGAGTTTTCCACAAGTAATCCTTCAAAATCCAGCAAAAATTGCCTGTTAGGCTTCATTGTTCGGCTGAAGCAGTGGGAATCATCATTTTGCGGCGATGTTCGGCCTACTCGCGTTGAGGATGATCACAGGCAAAGGTGCTTACCATAAATGTAGCATTTCTCGTCGTTACTGTGCTGGCGACAATTACTGTTACAGCTTTGCTTGTAATCATTATTGCGAAATCGACGGCCGTTGTTTCTATTCTGACCACGAGGAAGGCAATTGGAATTATACTTTTGATTGTCATAATTAATATCCAGTGCGTCATTGGTCTGATCAACAACAAAGTGGCTTACAGAGGGTTGCATTGCCTTGAATAATGCATTCTGTAGATCATTACATAATTGCTCATATCTCATTGTGGGTTTGAATGTTGCAGGCTTTAGTTCAGCCACGCCCTGCGCTGCACGTAGTGTTGCAGCTATCAGCTGTTGTTCACCGAAATACGAGCTACCTAGAGCCTGTTGACAAAGTTATAAACAATTGAGCAAGAAGTCCAAGACACCAGGGAGATCTTTCTGCAAACATTCTTTGTCATTCCTAGCTGACTGAAAATTGATCGAAGTCCAGTCATTGTGGTAGCGAGAGTGATTAATGCTTGTATCAAAATGACTTTTCAGTATCAGGTACATATTGCAAAACTTGGCAGAATTGCTAAGGGAATACAACAACCATTTCTGCGCCGCACCTGATAGCGTCATTCGAAATATAGCATGCAGTTGCGATGGAGCTATGTCAATTTGGGAACAAGTGAGTTGAAACTGGTGCACAGTGTTGTCTAAATTATTGTAAGCTACGCCTGTGAAGTTGTATTCCTTATTCCAGATTTTGCTAAATGTCTCAATCTTCCGAGAATCCAGTGGCTCATTATTGTCCTCTGGAATGCCCAAGTGGTTAGGGTTAAGCGGGTCTAGTAGGTGACTAGCAATAGGAACTTGATCAACAAACAACGGAGAAACACTGAGATAATGCAATGGCCTTTGGATACATGGCGAAAATGGGGGATACTGAGGTTCCCTTTGTGGGATTGGGGCAGTATGTGTGTTAATAGGAGTCCGTAAAATATCATCAGCGTCTTCATGATGGATTTGGATTGCAGTGTCGCCATTATTCTTTAAGGGTGCTGTAGTGTTGGGGAAAGTAGATTTGGGAGGTTCGGCAGAACAAGGTGTGTTGATGTGTGGAGTTTCAAGGACTTCAGACTTGACTGTCGGGTATCAAGCATGAAGCTCGCCTTGTGTGTTATCTGTGAAATAGTGCCAGCTATGGCTAAGTTCAGTGATAGGCCATGGGGGAAGCTGATCACATTTGACCATATTTGCAAAAACAGCTGCGTATTTTGCGTTTCGTATACCACAATAAGCGCCATGACGTACGAGAACATCTTTTAGTTTAGAGAAGATGATGGAACATAGTGTAGGACTAGCCAACAGTGTAAAGTCCTCTTCTAGCCATCCATCAAAGTCCAGACAAAATTAACTCCAAATAGATTCTGAAGTGCCAGAGAAGTATTCCATGTAGTTGGTAATTAAAGGCTGAGGGCGATAGATAGGGAGACGTCGCCTTGTGAATAGAATACTAATAGGTATGGGAGAATTTAATAGATCACTTGGAAAGAGTAAGATGATTGATTGATGGTGAGTTGTATTTTGTGGATGATGGATGTAGATACTGAGAGTAAAAAGGTCCTATCTATATACAGGAGTTCCTACCCTTATTCCTCTACATGGTATTGTCTATAATAGCTAGAGTAACTACAATGGTGTCCTCATTGTAGTGAACACGTTGATGTTAGTGTGTAGCGACCAGGAGGCAATAGTGATCAGACTCTAAGGGGTTAACTTTACTGGTGCACAGTTATCCCCTGAAGGTGTGTGCAGTTATGAACTCGGATTTTTACAACAGTTGGCAACTCGATCAAGAAGAAATGCAGCTCGCTGCGCGACAGTGGGCTCAGGAGGAAGGGAGTTGTCGAATTGGTCTTGATCAATGTGCCTGCGGCGGCTAGGATTAACCCCAATGGTTTCCCAGATCCACGCAATGTATTCTTTTACAGCAGCATCATCATCTTCTAGATCGCGCGAGGGTGCTTTGCCGCCGGCTCTTGAGCTCGATGCCATGGTGATTGCGTACAATTGAACTGATGATTTATAAAGAGAGAGAGAGAGTAAAAAATGCAATGCAACTTGATTGCACTACTTAAATGACGGTAATTTTCGAACGCTGCAAAGTATTAAATAGAAGGGATATCGCTTGGTGATTGAAAGTTTCAATAATCAATAGAGGTTTAGGAAAACGCGATGGGAGCGCGCCATGCAAATGTAGTTAACTCGGCCAATTCGGCCTATGCCTCGTACAACGACGGTACAGAACTCTTGATGTTGACTTCAGCTTATTCGACTTGATCGTGATCAATTGCTCTGCTGTAGCAGTTGGATTGCAGTCCTGAATTTGCGGTAAAGACGACTCTACAAACAACTCTCTTCTAATAGGTAAACCTTGCTATTTGCAGTCAGCCAAGTAGTTGGTTCACCACTAATTAGTGTTGGTTAAAACTACCAGGCTCTTGGATTCGAATCCGAAGGTAAAGGCAATAAGTAGAATGTGTTTTTGTATCTATCTCTCAGAAGGTTTCAGGGTGACAGCTATTACCCAGAGATATACTGAGTGTACACGTGCCTCCAGAAACCCTTACTCGCTATTGCCTAGTTTAGAATTCTCATGTCATCCACCCCATTATAATCACATGCCTCTATCTTATTCCCAAAAAATTACCATTTTGTTAATGGCTGCAACACTATCAATAAATTGGGACCCGTAGCCATGAACAAAATGGCGATTTTGTGTAAGTCCGGGCTGAGTTTAATGAATAGATCCGACAAAGTATCATCAGCAGCGATGCGTGCTTTACTTGATAACTCCGAGAAACGACTGTAAAAGTGATTAAACAATTCCGAGGTCGACATCCGGCATTTATTGTAAGACACACGGGCTGTTTCGCGCTCATTAGGATCATGAAAGAATTCAGATAGCCAATTTATCATTTCTTGGTTGTCATGGAAGTGCTGAGGATGATCCGACTTCATCTGTTGGGTCAGGTGTGACTTTGCGGTACCTTTTGTCTGGCTGAACATGTATGTTTTCCGCGCTATTTGATTTGTTAGGTAACATGCGTAGTTTGACAGATTTCCTTGGAGCATTATTTCCCAAGCGTCAAATGTTGGGCTCATCCCGTCGTCCAATTTCTCTGAAAGGTCGGGAACTCAATAGATTCGGTCCTTTACGGGGGCTCTAGAAAAATTGATTCTTCTAAAATGTCTTCGGTTCGGGGTATCATTGTGAGATGAATCTACATCATCCGCGCTACCGTGACTATTGTTGGATTCCAGGAACCAGTTTCTACGCCTGGCCGGCACTGTGAAGATGAAATTTCTTTCTTCTCCGAGTGATTTCTTTACTTATTGATGCGGTAAAACTTCAGGAATAATCGAAACGGAAGGATAGTAATCAGGTTGTTTGCCTTTGTCTTTTTGCGTATGTGTGGTTTTGGAGGCTGACAAATTAGCAATAAGTTCGTCCTGGACAGTTATCTTTCGAGATTGTTCAGATAACTGAAGCTGTATTGTTCGGAGTATGTTGGCTATGTCCTCATTGCTCGTTTGTTGGAGGGGAGGTGGGGGAGATAACTGTAAATCATCACGAAGATTTGGGTACAGGGGACTTATCGGTGAACGGCGGAGAGCAGATGCACGGGTTGGAATAGCTGTAGATGGCCCAGGAGAACCTGCTTTACAATGGACGAAGTCGACTGACGAGGTTTGTTTATTCTTTGATTTTTGGCGTTGGTTAATGTTATTCCATTTAGTATTAAAATGTTTGCCGGGTGGTGTGTGCATCATTGCATAAGATATATTATACAGAAGGTGTTAGACCCTTAGGGTCAATTGAAAATGTAAAGTAAAGTCTGTTGGTGAAAGTCTGTCCGTCCTTCGAGTCATAATATTTCTGCGCTGCAACGCGAACTTGGTTGTCTCCGTGTAGCGCCCATGCTACTACACCTGCCCCGTGGCTGGAAACCCGATGGTCGTTTTTATCACAGGTAACAAATGACCTGGCGCCCGAGATTCTGCACCCTGACGACTACCCTGAAGGGGTCTATTCTGCATGAATCAGTTGATGTTATTTTAAATACTCTGTAATTACCTCAAATAGATGTGCAACAAGTTGTGGTAGAGGATTTACCAAATGAGATGGAGTCGGGCGTCTTGGTTTATGGTGGGATTGAGGAGGGACAAAGATATTGCCAAAATCAATGACGAGGCTGAGACCCAGCAATACGACACTCTCGTATGCAATAACCAAAGGGCTGCACAACTTCCTACGCCAAGAAACACTCCCGAGCCTTCTACAGCGACCATTAATAGTCAGGATGCGCTTCAGAACAATGAAATATCTCTACCTAGAGTGGGAAGTCGCATACTACATGGGCCGGATCCAGGTAGTATTCTTCACGGAAAACGTAGAAGATTTAAAGCTCACTCTGTGCAAAAACTATCTCGTCTTGAAGGCTATCACTCAGCTTTTTCATCAGCCATCCTAACTACCGAAGTAGTTCGCGTACATCGAAACACTCTTCCTGTGGCGCCTAAAACCTTCAGACAAATAGCCGGTCATATCCACTCATCACAGTTCAAATAGGCATGTGATAAGGAGATTAAAGCCCTATCCGAAAAGGATATGTTCGAATTTGTTAACAAACATGATGTGCCTATGAATGAAAATGTTCTTCCACTTATGTGGGTAATGAGTTACAAGTTCGACGAAAACGGATTCTTGGATAGACACAAAGCCAGACTTATGGCTAGGGGGGACCTTGAATTTAATCAAGACAATACCTATGCTTCCACCCTCGCCGCTCAAACCTTCAGAGTGATTTCTTCTTTTGCTTCAGCTTTTGATTTGGAAATGAAACAGTACGATGCCGTGAATGCGTTCGCCAATGCAAAATTACCGTACCCAGTGTATTGCAAATGCCCGGAAGGATATGAAAGAGATGGACATGTTGAGGATGCAAGATTGACAGAACTCTAGATTAGTACGAGGCTCCAATAAATTGTAATGCTTATGTAACGTTGTTCATGTTGGAGTCCGGGCGCAAGATTAGGAATACTGTACTTATATAGACGATACCCTGTATTAATAGAAAACCAAGTTACATCTAGTCTTAAGCTCTACTATACATATTGGTAGATTGAAGCCACAAGACACCCGTAACCTACGCCATCTCAAAGCTAAGCTTATCTCACTTTTCACACATACTAATCCATCAGGAACCTCAATGTTATGAGAGCGCTTCAAGCTATTTATGGTCTCCGTAATTCACCTCTGCTATGGTACAACGAAATTACGCTTGGGTTTAAAAGGCTAGGACTTACACCTGTGCCCGAAACCAGCTGTCTATACATGAATGATTGGTTAATGGTGATGATTTACGTGGATGACCTTATTCTAGTTTATCACTCTCGGGACCAAGCTAAGTTTCTTAAGTTTGAATCTCAGCTGTTAGCACTTTATGAATTTCATGTTATGGGAGATGCTACTCACTTCATAAGTATCAGAATCATAAGAAATCGGGAAGATCGCAAGCTATGGTTGACTCAAGATAGTTACATCGAGAAAATTTCAGAAAAGTTCAACATCAAGGTTAATAAAGTACCTAAAACTCCTCTACCTCTAGGAGCTAATTGGTCAATCTGGAAAGGCACGGCTACTCCCAACCAAATATCTGCTTATCAGCAGAGATTTGGCAGCATTGGATTTTCTGCCTTCGCTACACGTCCCGATATTTCTAAAGCTGTTTCTGATCTCTCGGGGGTGCTTCATAATCCTTCACCCGAGCAATTACAAGCTGCTGAACACTCTCTTCACTATTTTGTAGGTACAAAGCATTTAGCTCTTCAATTCGATGGCCTCACTTAGGGACAGCGTATATTTGGAGCGTACAGCGACTCAGCCTTTGCAGACAACATAGCAAATAAATACAGCTCCCACGGATTTTGTTTTTCGCTCTACGGGGGACCGATTGATTGGAAGGCTACGAAGGGTAAGGCAGTTAATACTTCGTCCACAGAAGCAGAACTACTTGCAATTACGTTTACAGCAAAAGAGTTCATTCGCTGGATACGTTTCTTTTCTTATCTCAACTTTGACCTACAAGAAAAACCCACAATATACTGTGACAATATCCAAACTATTCGCATTCTCACCAAAGAATCTCCAGCGTTAGATACAGCACTAAAACATGTCGATATTCATCAAAATTGGCTTCAACAAGAGGTACAGGTAGGACACATAGAAGTCGAATGGATCAATACAGCAGATATG